AGCACTCACACGAGCCAGTCCGAGTAAGCCGCCAGTGATCACAACAGCAACACCACGAATGATAATCCTGTGCATGAGAGCAACGTCTTGCTGGGCCGGGCACGGCGCCTCACGCCTGTCATCCCTGCACTCTGAGAGGCCGAGGCGGGAGGATCGTTTGAGGTCAGGAGGTCAAGACCAGCCTGAGCAAGAGCGAGACCCCAACTCTACCAAAAATCAGAATAAATTAAATATACGCCACTAAAAATATATAAGAAAGAAATTAGCCGGCAATAGCGCTGGCGCACTGCACTGTAGTCCCAGCTACTCAGGAGGCTGAGGCAGGAGGATTGCCTGAGCCCAGGAGTTTGAGGTTGCCGTGAGCGAGGCTGACGCCATGGCACTCACTCTAGCCTGGGCGACAGAGTGAGACTCTGTCTCAAAAAAAACCCAAACAATGTCTTGCTATTTACTGAATGCCTCTTATGGCCGGTGCCCTGCGAAGGGCTACACAAATGTTACTCTCTTCAGATTGCCCTACACATGAAGCCTGCAAAGGAGGCACCGTATCTCTTATGTTTCAATAAAGAAACCCACGGTCAGAGAGGCTAAGTGGCCCACGGTCACAGCTGGCCATCGGCAGCGGCGCGGTCTGGTCGGGTGTGAGAGGCCCGGGGCGCTGGCGCAGAGGAGCCCGCGGGTGAGCAGCAGGCGGGGCCTCCCGGCGCCCCACGAGCCTGGGGCAGGCTGGAGCCACAGAGGAAAGCACTGGGCCTCAGAGACCGAGTTCGAGCTGCGGGTCCTGCGGGCTGCAGCCACGCGTGGGACGGTACCACGGGGACCGGGCCCAGCGACTGCTCCGTCCCGCTGGGAGCTCACAGAGGCTCACGGAGGCCCCGAGACAGGTGGCTGCTTTTGCCAGGACATCCTGTTCAGCAAACTTGCTGCCGTCGCAGAGAGGAAGACGAAGGCTGAATGTCCCTGCCCTGCCTGCCCGAGATCTCGTCTTGACAGAGGCGACGTCCAGGCAGTGCCAGCACGGGTGGGAGGGGCCGGCCTGCGAGGCGCTGCGTGCAGGCCAGCTCTGGGCGCCACGCCCGGCCTCCGCCTCCCTGTCCGCCCTCCCGCTGCGTAGCGGGCACCGTGCACCACGCCCGGCCTCCGCCTCCCTGTCCGCCCTCCCGCTGCGTAGCGGGCACCGTGCACCACGCCCGGCCTCCACCTCCCGCCCGTGTCCGCCCTCCCGCTGCGTAGCGGGCTCCGTGCACCACGCCCGGCCTCCGCCTCCCGCCCGTGTCCGCCCTCCCGCTGCGTAGCGGGCTCCGTGCACCACGCCCGGCCTCCGCCTCCCTGTTCGCGCTCCCGCTGCGTAGCGGGCATCATGCACCACGCCCGGCCTCCGCCTCCCTGTCCGCCCTCCCGCTGCGTAGCGGGCTCTCCGAGTCGGCGAAGCAGGCGTCTCTCTGAAGCCCAGACTGAGCGAGGCGAGTCCGGGACGCGCTTCTGCTCACGCCCGAACACACGTGGAGCCCGGCTCCGAGCTGGGCTGGCTTCCGTCCCCACAGGGACCGCGGCAGGGGCCCTCCCGGGCGGCAGGACTCCCGGGGAAGTCCGCCTCTGGCCTCCCGTCTCTGCCCTCGCGTTGGGTGCCGCCCGCCGCGCCGCCCCGCCGAGCTCGGCCAGGCGCCTGACATGGGGCTGGGAGCAGGAAGAGCCAAACTTGGCCTGCGGCCGCCTCCCAAGTCCCCTCATGTCACAGGACGGCCAGCTTTTTGCTGCGTTCCCGCCACGCCCACGAAGCGGCTCCCAGTCCGCTGCCACAGACTGCGCCCCTCCCTGGGCGTCCCCGGCGCAGAGGCGGCCGAGCCCGGCTGGCACCGGGGCGCCAGTCCCTGTCCCGCCTCGCCTGGCACCGGGGCGCCGGCCCCTGTCCCCGCGTGCCTGGCACCGGGGCGCCGGCCCCTGTCCCCGCGTGCCTGGCACCGGGGCGCCGGCCCCTGTCCCACCTCGCCTGGCACCGGGGCGCCGGAAAAGACCTGGTTGGAGACCCCAACACGAGCTGCGCCACCACTGAAGCAAGAGCCCGACAGGCTTGGAGCTGCGACCCAGATGGGCTCCACCACTTACCCAAGAGATGCTTTAGCCAAAACAGGCGGACACTCACACAGCCTGCCTCACCCTCCTCCCTCCCGGCCCGGCCTCCCAGGGGCTCCGGGACCGAGAGGAACACGCGCAGATTGCCAGGCCGAGACAGACAGAGGGGCGGCCCCATCGCCCCAGCCGACAGGGAACATGGACACCCGCTGGGGCAGACGGCAGGGAGGGGACAGAGAAGGCAGAAGAGCCCAGTTCCTGAGCCGGCAGGGATGGGGAGACGGCGGCACCGGCGCCAGCACCGCGCGTTCTGAGCCATGACACCCGCACATGCCTATGCCATCCAAACCTGCGGGTGTGAACAAGTGACGACACAGACGGACGAGGAGAGGAGAAGGACGAGGAAGAGAAAAGTGGGAGAAAACATTAGAAATATAAAATGTACGATAGATCATTTAGAAATCCAAGTTTATACTGTCTTGATGAGTTGTTTTAAATAACTGGACATTATGCACTGTCACCAAAACACACAAGGCTACAGAAGAAGGATTAAAAGAGAAGAACAGTTGACATTCTCAAGTTACAACTTCTTACTCAAAAATATTCCTTTCATGAAATTGGCTGAGACTAGAATTTTTTTGTAATGACTGATACTGTATATTGAGGCAATTAAGAGCCTCATGGAATGTAAGCAAGGATTCACATTATTATTATTATTATTCAGTGAATTTCAGAGTTTTAGACTGAGCAAAATAACTAGATGAACCCAGTTTTCAATAAGGCACTTTTCATCTCCTTTGAAAATGCCGGCAGTTTAGAAGTGGCATTGCCAGGTCAAAGGGAAATTTTACACTCAGAATAAAATAGCCATGACCTCATATCAGTAGCTGCGAGCCGGTCCCTGACCTGGAGGATTTCCGTCCTGCCCAGGAAGTCTCGGGTTTTCTGTGGCAGAGAGCAGGAGGGTGGGGCGCAAGCCAGTGCTTAAGAGGGGGTCTGAGTAGCCCTGTCCAGCGCTGTTCTAGTAAGTCCACATAAACTTTGGAGCAAAAAAGAACTTGTTTAGGACAGCTGGCTAATCTTCTTGGATTAATCAAGTTGGAACCAACTTGACAAGACACAGACTTGTTAAGAATAGCAATGCACACTTGACCAAACTCCCCATTAATGCTATTTTTGAAAAATACCTAGAGACTTAACATTTTTGTAAAAATAACTCGATACTCTTTGCATACAAGTGTGACCCACTTAGGGAGATATTTATGGCAACTCAATTCCTCAGCGATCTCATAAAAAGATGAATAGAGAGACACTGCTTTTGAACGTAAGGTAAAAGCTAGCACATCGAGTGGAAACAATATTTTTGCAAGGCTTTCCTCCCAGGATTATCATTGTTTCAGCAAGGTGTACAGCTGTGTTACAGCTCTTGACGAGGGAAAGAACCAAGAGGCACACGAACAGTCTTTATTCTTCCAGCAGGCTCAGCCAACTTCTGACTTCTGACTCCCCTTCCTTGTTCTCCTCCTGTTTTTATACCCTTGGTAGAACTCAAAAAGCGTCCAATCAGCCAATCAGCAACAAGCTTTAACGTCCAATCAATATCGCGCTGCCAGCTGGCAGGAGGCCGGGAGCGGGCGGGAGCGGGCCGGGAGCGGGCGGGAGCGGGCCGGGAGCGGGCCGGGAGCGGGCCGGGAGCGGGCCGGGAGCGGGCCGGGAGCGGGCCGGGAGCGGGCCGGGAGCAGGCGGGAGCCGGCCGGGAGCCGGCCGGGAGCCGTGTGGGCGGACGGGGCTTGGCGCCGAGGCCGGCCCAGCAGCGCACACGGCCCCCAGCCGCCCGGCAGCGCCAGCCGCAGGGATGTGGAGGGGCCGCGTCCTGGCACCCAACGGGCTTTCCCTGTCATTCCCCCCTTTGATGCCCTTATCAGTTTACACAGAGGCATCAACCTCTCTATGGATCTGATAACTGCATTGGGCAAGCGGGGCCCATGTCGCCCTCGGAAGGATCTCCGAGCCTTTTGACTTTGGTAGTTACAGTAACAGCATTCTTCCCCCAGAGAGCCCCAACCAAGAACAACACAGGGGCACCCCATGTAGACCCAGAAAAGGATCACCAAGAAGTTAGTCCAGTCTTTTGGGGCGAAGGCCCGGAGTCCAATTCCCAAGAAGACCGTCAGTATTCCTGTAGGAGTCCAGGCCCGTGGTCCCATTCAGTCCTCGGCTTCCAGCCAGATGCAGGGGCAATCCGTACACATTGGCCTTTTGTCGTGGGCATACCTGAGGGCTTGGACGAGCACCATAACTCTGCCCTCTGGGCTGACCATCCCTGAGGCAGAGGGCTGACGTGACGACTTTGCTCCCCGTGGTGACTGCGTAGCCAGCCAACCGTTTGCCACCCTGGGTGTAGCTGCTGCCGTCCGTGTCGAGCCACAGGTCGGGCGCCGCAATAGGCCATCCCCCAAGTCTGGCCGGCTTGCGCAGACCTCCTCCACGGCCTCGGCACAGTCCTGGGCGGGGGCCTGGCCCGGTAGGCAGGAAGGTGGCAGGTTCAAGGTCCACACAGTCTCGATGGTGACTCGTGGGTCCCCACACAGCAGTCCCTGGCACTGTGCCAGCTGACCGCTAGAAAGCCATCGGTGCCCCGACGTGTTCACCAAAGCCACCACTGCGTGCGGGGCCTGCACACGGACACCCTGCCCAAGCGCAAGCCCGTCTGCCTCCTTGACCAGTGAGACGGTCGCTGCCAGTGCCCGCAGACAAGGCGGCCGTCCCGACGCTACCGAGTCCAGCCGCGTGGACAGACAGGCCGCTGGCCTCTGCCAGGGCCCATGGTCTGCGCCAGCACCCCACAGCCCCCTGCCTCTCGCCTCCGAGGGGGCCTGCTCAGCCTCAAGCCGGCCCGGAGCTCCGCACCGTCTGTTCCAGCGTCCTCTTCATCCGCTCCAGGTGTGCACGTGTGTCCTGCTCCTTCTTCAGCTCCTCAGCCATCATGGCGGCATCGGTCGGTGATGGCCTTTTTGGCCTTCTCCTCTGCCTCCCTCCTCCCCTGGGCAGCCTCCTCCACCTCCCCACTCAGCCGGGCCAACCCCGCCTCGAGCTGCGTCTCCTGGTTCAGAGGCCTGCGTTCTGCGAATGCAGGAGGCCGAGGCGCTCGGTGGCCTCCAGCAGCTCTCCTGCTCCGCCAGCCGCCGGCTGTGCTCGCCCTGCTCCCGCGCAGCCCGCGGCTCCTCCAGCTCCGAAGCCAGCTGCGCGGCCGGCGCCCCAGGGCCTGCGCCTGCTCGCGGGGCTCAGCCGCCACTCCTCTTCCCGCCCTGCCTGCTCCTCCTTCCGCGCGGCCTGCAGCAGCATTCAGCCGCCTGGGCCTCCGTGGCCCGACGGGTAGCGTGGCCCAGCTGCGCTCCAGGCCACTGAGGTCCCCCTCCATCTTCTCCTGGAGCCTCAGTGCTCCACTGCGGGCCGGGTCTCAGCACCCAGGAGGCCTGCAGGGCCCCCACTGCCCGCTGGTGGCTGCGCCTCAGGTCAGCGCGCTCCTCATCTTTCTCCGCCTGCTCCTGTTTGGCCTCCTCCAGCTCCTCGGTCCTCTGGATGGCGTCTGCCTCATACCTGCTCAGCAGGTCCCGCCCCAAGAGAGGCACTGACAGTCTGGCGTGTGGAGGACCGCGTGCCTTGTCTGATGGCCCCCAGTTGGCATACCCGGGACTGGCAGAAGGGTCTGGCTACCCGAGTCCCGGTAGATCCGACTATAGTCGTTTCCCGCTTTGTAAGCAGGGCCACGGGGGTTGTCACAACGAGTGTTCTGCTCCAGTGTCCACCTTGAATGTCATTTGTTGGCCCCCTACTTTCGTCTTGACCGTGGGTTCCCGAGGGCCACGAGTGAAGGAACCCGGTTGGCGTGACTCGGAGTCAATGCCAGCGAGCCCCACCGGCTCCTGGGCTTCCGGTTCCTGTTGGATAGTCCCGAACCGGGCCCTCCCTTGGAACAGGTGACTTCTCTTGTGGGGACATTCATTGTTCCAGTGGCCGAACCCCTTGCAACTGGCACACTGGTCTCCCGCCAGGGGTGCCCGTCCTCAGGTTCCCCCTTTCGTGGGGGTCTGGGCCGCCTGGACGGGTCGGGTCTACCGAGGGCAGCTGCCAGGAGGGCGGCCTTTTTCTCCATCCTCGGGTCTTCCTCCCTCTGAGCGGTGCGGTCCCGGTTGACGTACACCTGGTGGGCCGCCTCCGTTAACTGCGAGACGCGCTCGCCTGCGGGCCCTTCGGTCTCCGCGGCTCCTGCGGGTGTGGGAGGCCGAGGCCCGGCGGACGCTGCGCTCACCGTTCTCTGGTTTCCGGCTGCCTGCGGTCGATGGGTGTGTCTACGCGGACGCCTCACAGGGGCGCTCGTACACGTCGCACGGTGGCTCCCCTGGTTTCCGGGTGATTAGGGCGACCTTGCTCACGTTGGGCGGCTTTTTGGCCCCTTCCTGCACTCCTTGGAGAAGAGCCTCTCGCAGGCTCCAGGGCCGCTGTCCGCCTGGTGCGCGGAATCTCGGGCGGCTCGTGGCCACTGCGCCACATCGGGCGGCCCGGCCCCGCCCCTGCAGCCACTCCCGAGTCCAGCCGCCATGCGACGCGGCCCTCGGGCTGCAGAGGGCCAGCGGCAGTCGCCGGCAGCCTTCCACGCGGGCGGTGAGTCTGGAAGGCAGACGCCAGGGGCCCGACGGGGGCCTGCGGTTTCTCCCAGTAGGACGCGGTGTGGCGTTTCCAATTCCGCAGGTCGGTGGTGGAGAAAGGCTGGTAATCGGGCAGGTTGCCCCGGCTGGCTGGTTCCGGCATCCCGAACCGCGGAGCTCGCGTGTCACGCGGAGGCATCTGGAAGGCCGCAGGGGCTGGGCAGACCGCGCCGGGGCCCAGCGGTGGCGATGCCGGGTGGAGAAGCCGCTGGTGGCGGTGGGGTGTCGGGTGCAGTCCAAGTCACCACTCTCCGAGCCTTTAAAAAAGAAGTTGTGAATTTTATTTTCCATGGGTCTTTCTTCATTAATCTAAATGTCTGAAATTTATTTCCCAAAAGGTAGAAAACATTTTGGAGTTTTTAGCTGCATCTGAAACTCTTCCCCCATTGAACTTCCCAAACCACTGACAGAAGACCTCTTTGCAATGTGCTTTTTGGGTTCCCAGACTAGCCCTGCCACTCGATGTCAATTCAATATGTGCTTTAGCAAGTTGCTGTCTTTCTCAGACTCCGTTTCCTGCTCTGTTGCAAGAGGCAGTTATATCCATTTCCTCGGACTGCAATGAGGGTTAAATAAAATTTTGTGGAAAACACGGTGTCAACTGTACATTTTCCTCATGTACAAAATGTTTATACGAAACTCACAGCACCAATGAAATGGCGTTGGCTTGTGTTCACCTGGTTACGAGCTGGCCTCACGACCATGCTGCGCCTCCCGCGCAGGCCCGAGCGTGCCCCAGGGGTGCTGGCACGGCGGCACTCGGACAGCAGGAGGCACCAGGGCTGCTGGGTCTGCGGCCACACGCGCCGTCTCTAGAGCAGCGGCTCTCAGACTTCGGGCTGCAGCAGACTCTCTGAAGGGCTGTGAAGACCCAGCTGGTCAGTTGGCCAATTAATCTCTTTCTATTTTTAGTAGAGACAGGGTCTTGCTCTTGCTCAGGCTGGTCTCGAACTCCTGAGCTCAAACGATCCACCCACCTCGGCCTCCCAGAGTGCTAGGATTACAGGCGTGAGCCACGCGCCCGGCCAGGATTTCTCAATCTTGGCATTATTGACACTCTGGGCCAGATCATTCTTTACTGTGCAGAGCAGTCCTGTGCTTTAGGGCATCTTAAGCAACTTATCTGGCTTCCACCCATGAGGTACCAGTAGCACCCCAAGTTATGACAACCAAAGATGTTTCTACGCATTACCAAATGCCTGAGGGGCAAAATTGCCCCCAGTTGGAAACCACTGCTCTAGGTAATTCAACAGACAGGCAGAGACCCTCTGAAGGCAGATGTAGAGCACGGCAGGGGCTTGCTCTAGAACATGAAGCCACGCTCGAAACGGTGGAACAGACCCTAAGGGCATGTAATCTATACGCCTAGAAATTAAGTGATCAGATTATGAATGACAGCTCAATTTTTAGCTTTTCATGAATTGACCTGAGAACAATCCAGTTGGAACTAATCTCGACTGTAACTTCTGGTTTCTGCGTCCAGGAATCCCGAAAAGCATTCTTATTAAATTATCTCCAATTTGTGAATGTCCTTTTGTCTTCTTAAATGCAGACCTCCTAGAGAGATCACCGTTTCTGTCTCCTCAGTTTCAGTCTCCTCAGGCATGACTTCCTGATTCTGAAGGGCCTGCCCTCTGTTAGGCAAACAACACTCTGTACCAGGTGGGCGAGCCTACATGGTCCATGCTCAAAACATAAGTTGTTTGCAAGAAACAAACACACTGGGCCATTCCGAACTGTCACGAGTGTAGATCTAGCAACCACGGGCGGGTGTCTGCGGGGGTGAAGGCCCGGATCCCCCGGCAGGCTGTCCTTTGGCCCCAGCCTGAAACAGGGGCCAGGACCGGCATCTTCTGGCAGCTAGTTAGTTAGACATGCAGAATCTTTTGTTTTTGTTTTTGTTCTTGTTTTGAGACAAGAGTCTCACGCTGTTGCCCGGGCTAGAGTGCCGTGGCGTCAGCCTAGCTCACAGCAACCTCAAACTCCTGGGCTCAAGCGATCCTCCTGCCTCAGCCTCCCGAGTAGCTGGGACTACGGGCATGCGCCACCATGCCTGGCTAATTTTTATATATATATATATATATGTATATATATATATATATTTTAGTTGGCCAATTAATTTCTTTCTATTTTTAGTAGAGACAGGTTCTTGTTCTTGCTCAGGCTGGTCTCAAACTCCTGACCTTGAGTGATCCTCCCGCCTCGGCCTCCCAGGGTGCTAGGATTACAGGCATGAGCCACCGCACCCGGCAGAAATGCAGAATCTTAAACCCCGCTCCAGATCCACCCAATGAAAAGCTGCGTTTCCACAAGATGCCAGATGATTCCCATCCACATTACAGTTTGAAAACTGGGGGGTCCTGGCCCAGAAACCCACTGCGTGTTCAGAGCCGCAAGCCCCCACTCTCCCAGAACAGCGAGGTGGCACTTACTTCTACAACGTCGACAAATGTCGTCTCCCTCTCTGGACTGAACCCGAAAGGGGAAGCCTGCTCCCTGGGGAGCCCAGGGCCAGGCTTACTGCTCAGTACTTAAAATTCTGTCTAGTAGGCCAGCGCGGTGGCTCACACCTGTCATCCTAGCACTCTGCGAGGCCAAGGCAGGAGGATCACTCAAGGTCAGGAGTTCGAAACCAGCCTGAGCAAGAGCGAGACCCCGTCTCTACTAAAAATAGAAACAAATTAATTGGCCAACTGAAAAAAATGGGCCAAATAGAAAAAATTAGCCGGGCGTGGTGGCACATGCCGGCGCATGCCTATAGTCCCAGCTACTCGGGAGGCTGAGGCAGGCTGATTGCTTGAGCCAGGAGTTTGAGGTTGCTGTGAGCTAGGCTGACGCCACGGCACTTTAGCCCAGGCAACAGAGTGAGACTCTGTCTCAAAAAAAAAAAAAAAAAAAAAATCTGTCCAGCAAATCAATGCGCCTCCCAACCCTCAGCCTCCAACAGGCTTCAGAAGTTCAACTGCTTGATTAACACATGCAGAAAACCCAAACTGCTCAGATCTCAGAGGGCAATTGGGAAGGAACCCTGAGAAAAGGAAACACTCAGCTTTTCTTTACCTTTTGCTGGACTCATGTATTTACCCAAGATTTGAGTCATTCAGCTGCAGAGTTCCCAGTGTTGGAGAGAAGCCATTGAGCGCGTTCTCTGTAACTCTGTATGAGGACTTTTATTCTTGCATCATTTTATTAATTTTGTTCCTTTATAGTTGTTTTATCCATCTGGAAAGGTTATTGGAGTATGGGTAAAATGTTATAAATTAACAGTCACTAGTAAAAAAGACTTTTCACGTATAATTCATATATTTATATCTACCTGTAGCTTATCTGGCTTTTCCATAAAAGAACTTGGGGCAAATGTTCACAATAAAATAATAAAACATAACTAAAGCAACTTATTAAGGCATGACGAGGGTTACAATGATCATGTGACCTCTTTCTCCTTGCCCTGCTGGTGGAGAAAGTGTCTGTTCCACCACCTAGAAAGCGCGATCCCACAGGCAATGGGATCGTCTTCCAAGCAGCGAAGGGCGTTCTGCTCTAGATGGCTTTCGAGAAGCACCATTTAACAACCTTAGTACTTTCTTCCCAGTCACAAAAAACAAAACTCAAAAAACAACAAGAATAGACAACTGGTAGAATTAACTTTTTATTTACAAAGAATTGTTTTTATTTGGCCGTTTGGAGAACCACTAACATTTTTCACTTTAGAAAACATTAAATAATAAACAAGATGTGATACAGTACTTTGGATAACTTCCACCACCAGTTTAGTGCAATATATTATTGGCACCTAAAAGTAAAATTTTCAATTATTTTCCCCTTTCATCTTCAGCTGTTCAGTTATATAACCAAAAAGGAAATGAATCATTAAAAATGGATCGAAGGCCATATTCTCTGACTCTGCTCAAAGGCTTAATGATTTACATTCTACCTGCAGCCCTGCCTCTACCACATTCAACCACAAAAGACCTTCTATTGTACCTGTTGTTCAAAAACCATTACTATTTTGTGGCACTCGGGAGACCCCAATTGTGACGAGAAACTGACTCACGCTGACGGGGGTGAAGGCAAGGCCGGGGAGCTGGGCAGGGCACTCCTTTCAGTGGCCAAGTTAACTGTCACACACAGCAGAGAGAAAGCCCCAGACAGACATCTCTCTGAACTGTGATCCTGGTGTCTTTGAAAACCACGAAACGTCATCCACTGAGCAAGTGAACGGTTTACACTCACACCAAGAAAAACAATTTTAAGACACTACCACATTAGGACATCACTGAGATACTAAAGTATCTGTCCATCATATTCTCTTTGGGAATAAATAGTTTTTTGGCGATTTTTTTTTCTTTTGGCTTTAATATTGCTCAGTTTGCCATAAAAGGAAAGACGTTTTAGTGAGTTTAGCATTTGGTAGGCTCTTTCCTCTTCATTAAGAGGTCACGAGGGCAATGTCTAAATTAGCGCCTAGTCCAAAGTACTTAGTTCTGAAGATTTTCATTCCAAACCAGCAATAGGATCAAAACAGCTCTGGGGAGACTCTGTAATCTGTCACTTTACCTTGAGGTAAGAACATCTTTAACCATCTTAAATAGATAACTTTTTATCTGATTTTTAAGCTGAGAGAGTAGGGGCAGGGAGAAGAGTAAGATTTGCACACCTTTTTTTTTTTTTTTTTTTTTTTTATAAAGGATTCTAGTTTAACAACTGTCCCTGCCCAGAAATGACCCCACACCCCCTAGTCTAAGCCTGTTTCCTCTTGTTCTATTCTTAGTGCACGTGGAGAACAACAGCTGGCTACCACCCTCTGTGCCAGCCTTCCACACACTGGAAAACCATCAATAGTTTGCCCCTTGGTCTTCTCCAGGCTGAATAATCCCATTTCCTTTAATTTTTCATCATAGATCTTTTTTCCCAACTCTTTAATCATTTTTGTGACTCCTGGCAAAAACAGCAGAAAATATTTTGATTATTTAATCAGAAATTAAGAAAAGCCTCAGGAGTAAGTTGCCTTTTAAAAGTCCCATTATTTTTAAATATAAGCGTAAAATACGCAGAGAGGAAATATAGTTGGGAATTCATGGATCTTAGAAGTCCCATCTTGTCCCGCTGCTCTGGTGAGTGCAAACCCCACTCCCAACCCGACGCCTCCCGGGACGGCCCCGCCCTGTCCTGACCCAGCACTGAGTGACAGCTACACCTGCCTACACTCTGATTCACAACTCTGCGTGAAAATCTGTTCCGGCGGAGTTTCCCCAGGCTTCCTCTCACTCTGCTTCCTTCAACAGGATCCTTTCTCCAAAACAACCAAAACTTTGACAAAGCTCACAGATTGCCAGAGAGCCGAGTCCTGATGGCAAAGCTGCTAGCTTACAAGTACAGCTTGACACAGTGAAGGTTTCATATACTAACTGCAGTTTCTTATCTCCTGAAATGGTTTACAATCCTTTGCAAAGATCAAACACAAGGCAATCAAAAAAAAAAAATTCATCACTCCACTAGCACAAACGGATACCTCTGCCCATTTTCTCTTGCTGCCAATATAAGGCCATGGAACCGGATGACATCTCACTGTGTTATTTTTTAACTCAAGAGATCACAAGCTGCCCATTACCTTGCAACTAGAGTCTGCAAATATCAGGAACAGGTAAATACTTAATCACACATTTACACAAAACACAACAGCACTAATGAAGGCTTATGTGCCCAGCTCTACATAATTGTCTTTGAAAGAAAAACACAGATAACAATAAATGCACCTTGGTATGTTACACGCCCTTATTTTATAAAGTGAATGGCAGTGAAAGAGTTCAGGTCAGGCCAGAACTAACCTGGGAGAAGAGGATAAACCCACTTCACTAGCACACTGCACACTGCATCTCAGGGAGTCAGTACTGCTCATGTCAGGGCACCCCAAACAGACAGCATGATGGCCATCTGCACAGATTTCTTCTGAAAGCTTCTCCCATAATTTAATTTGCTCCCCTAATTTGCTACAAGGAGCACCTTGTAACCAGGTGAAGGACGGCATGGGTCACACACACCGAAGGCCACCCAGAAAGAGACGCGGGATGGAAGATGAGAGAAGAGGAGTGAAAAGCGAAGAGGCGGAGTGCACTGCTAGTGCCGGGGTGGCGGGCGCTCCTCCGCGCAGGGCCCTGCTCTCAAGCTCACGTCGTCCAGCGCGACCTGCCCCGCGTGGCCGCGCCTCTTTTCTCCTTTGAAGATGACCTGGGGAGAGAAGGCACACGCCGGTCACGCCCCTCTGCCCGTTCCCACGCCCGCTTGTGCCGCAAAACAAAGGCGAGCTTTCCCCCAAACCAAACAGTGAACTTACTGAACAGGAGGGAGGACCGCAACGCAGTGGCCATGTCACCCAAGGCTTGTCTTTCAGTAGAGACTTAAACCCTCAGACTACATTGCTCAGCGTCAGTCACTCTGTAAGAAGCCATCTACACTATGGACTGAGCCGATCCAGGAATGCTCACCAAGTGAGCACTTTGTCAAAGACTGCCAGCATCAGAAGAAGACCGCGATGGGACACAGGGGTGCAGATATTAAGAGCCAAAGATCTGAGAAGATCATGTTCATGCAGCCTAGGTTAGATGTTTCTTAGTTCTTCCATTTGGTTAATATAGTTTTACTGCCCAAAATGGAATAGAATCAAACACCATAATCCGATCCCACTGCTGTTTTACCTATGTAAAAACCAAACATTTTCACTATTCTTGTATTTTATCTTCTATACAGCATCCTTGCTCCTTTTAAAATAGGAGAAACCTTTCATTACTATGATTTGAAACAATTATCTTGTTTTATTTCTCCAAACTATGTAAATATTGAGGAAAAACTTTATGGAAGAATAGCAAAAAATTAAACAACATCCAAGTACCCTAATAAAAGCTGTATGCATGGGATCTATCTTTTCTTTGTAAAATAGTTTCTAGAAACTTATAGGCATGGAGGCAGAATCTCCTAAGCACCAACATAAAGAAGACATTTTCCCAAATGCATTCATTATTTTGGTGGGACGTTGCACAGCATTTTGTTGCCAACTATGACTGGATTACTTAAGATCTAATGTATACACTTCCTCGTCCTGTCCGAACACAATGGCGCTTTCCAGTCGTGGTTGGGGTTTCTGCTTAACTATCATCTCTGAGGCAAAGAAAAACATAACTGAGCTTTAAAGGAACATTTCAGAAGAGAAAAGAGAACCAGGCATAGGTGAGCTCACCACCCTGCCCTTTGCAGTTTCTGTGGATTAACCTTTTTCTAGTCCTAAATACTTTTTCATTAAAAATAGTGGGTTTTCACCAGCATGGGGGCGGCGGTCCCAGGTTGCAAGGAAGAGGAACGAAGCAGCAGCAAGACTGCAGAGAGAGACACGAAAGGGCCACCCCGCCGGGACGCGCCGCTGACTGCGGTCTGACCCGATTCCCAGGGCAGGCTCCTGCACATGCGGGCCCCGGAGCCCCCGCGAAGGGAGAGCCGCCCAGGCTCCTGCCTCCCTGCCCATCTACTCACGCTCTTGACGCCCGGCCCTCGCAGGGTGATCTGCGTCCGCCTCCAGCCGTGGCCTCCGCTCCTGCCCCACAGGGCTGCTCCGGGGGCCCCGAGTCTCCGCACAGACACCTGCAGCGCGCCCGCCTGCAGCCCCGCCACCTTGTGTCTGAAGGACAGGCACAGGTCCCCCGAACGCATGAGGTGGCCGAGAGGTAGCACCAAGCGAGCGGCTCTTCCGCCTGGGGCTTTGGCTGCCGCCACGGCCAGGTACTGCCCACCTGGAACGGAAGCAGGCCCGTGAGTCTGCGCCCTGCCCACCTGCGCCCAGCCCGCCCGCGCCCCGCACACGCCCTGCCCCGCCCGCACCCTGCCCGGCACACGCCCTGCACACCTGCGCCCAGCCCGCCCGCGCCCCGCACACGCCCTGCCCCGCCCACACCCTGCCCGGCACACGCCCTGCCCGGCACACGCCCGGCACACGCCCGGCACACGCCCTGCCTGCCCTGCCCGGCACACGCCCTGCCCGGCACACACCCTGCCCGGCACACGCCCTGCCCGGCACGCGCCCTGCCCAGCACACGCCCTGCCCGCCCTGCCCGGCACACGCCCTGTCCGGCACACGCCCTGCCCGGCACACGCCCTGCCAGGCACACGCCCTGCCTGCCCTGCCCGGCACACGCCCTGCACACGCCCTGCCCGGCACACGCCCTGCCCTGCACACGCCCTGCACACGCCCTGCCCGCCCTGCCCTGCACACGCCCTGCCCGCCCTGCCCTGCACACGCCCTGCCCGGCACACGCCCTGCACACGCCCTGCACACGCCCTGCCCTGCACACGCCCTGCCCTGCACACGCCCTGCACACGCCCTGCCCGGCACACGCCCTGCCCGCCCTGCCCTGCACACGCCCTGCCCGCCCTACGCCCTGCCCGGCACACGCCCTGCACACGCCCTGCCCGGCACACGCCCTGCCCGGCACACGCCCTGCACGCCCTGCCCGCCCTGCCCTGCACACGCCCTGCCCGCCCTACGCCCTGCCCGGCACACGCCCTGCACACGCCCTGCCCGGCACACGCCCTGCCCGGCACACGCCCTGCACACGCCCTGCCCGGCACACGCCCTGCCCGGCACACGCGGCGCGGCCGGAGCCCCGGCGCTGCTTCATTTGTAGAGACTTCCAGAGTTTTGAAGCAGAAAAACACGACTTATTTCTACGCCCGCGTTACATCCTCTGGCGTTGGTTTACAGAAAGCTGACGCACGGCGCCCGCGGAGAGAGGCGCGCCAGGGACAGCGGCGCCCACACGCGGGCGCGACGCCCCTCGCCCGGCACCTCGTGATGCCCGGCAGTTCGCGATTCTCTTGTCCAGCACCCCTGCCACGCCGGCTGGGCGGTTTGCAAAATCCGGCCCTAAATTTCCAGGAAGAATTTTCTACACGGCCAGTCGGCCCCGGGCAGCGAAGCCCGCGGCGACTAAGCGGCGACTAAGCGCCTGCCTGTCCGCTCCTCCTCCTCCCGGGCGCTCCGGAGCCCGGCTACACTCGGTCTCACTCGCCTGTCACACTGCTGCAGCCCAACTCCAGGAAGACACAGAGGTGTTCTGGAAACCTCCACATCTTCCTGGAGCATCAATTTTATTTGGCAGTAAGTCACTTAAAACATTTTTATATTAAAACAAATCTATAACATTATATTTATTTCACAAATACATTCTATTATGTATACGTGAACACAAAATGTCAATAAAATAATACAGTGGTACGTCACCGTAGACACACCACTTTGATGACCTGCTCGCGCCCTGGGGCTAGAGTTTGCTTCCCTCTGTTGTTAGGGAGACGACAATAAAAAAACTCCAAGCAGCAGAGAAGTGAGAAATGCTGCTTCTCAAGAGAAAGTTGTAAGTGGCATTTTGAAACTCAATCCATGCCCAAGTGACATTCCTCTCTTGGGCTGTTTTATCTCAGCCAACTGGAAAACACATTACATGTTTCAACACTGATTTTTTTCCATAGGAAAACCATGGTTGGAATGTTCAACATGTGTATGTATTTTGGTAGGAATCCCATTTATTTTTCAGTTGAAAGATAAGCCATCGTCTCCGCCTTATGCTTAATTTACATTAAGACATAGTTAAGACTTGGGGTAGAGGAAGTGCTTCTCCCCCACAAGTCTCCTCTGGGCTCTCGTAGGTCACGGGTGATTTGTGGGCACTCAGAACGTGCCGGCCGTGTGCTTAGTGGCCCCAGGAGGCTGTGAACACCTCCAAGTCAGAACCAACCCTTGCCCTGCCTCCCGTTACACTCCTAGTATATAGTAGATGTTTAAGGTCATTTGTTGAATAAATAAGTGATATTAATCATAATGTTCCAATAAAACAGCAAAAAACTGCAAGGAAATTGGTCCTTGACTCATGCATTTGAATCACTAAACACAAACACACAGTTTGTCTGCCCTCCCACCCGCCCACCCCTCCCCCCACAAATTAATCCAAACAGTATTTGGGGCCAAATCATTTACGTGGACTTTAAAAGTCTCTCTGTAAAGTTAGCTTTTGAATCATCACAGGTATTCTGGTTAAGACTAAGATACAAGGTTATAACACTTACCCTGCAAGTTTTAAGGAAACAAGGATTATCTTAGGTCTCCGTGGAATGTTCTGGTAGATGCTGCTTGCAAATAAGACAATCTAACAAACCCAGGCATTCTAATAAAAGATTCCAATAATCCTTTTATATTTGTATTTAAAATTCTAACATTTAAAACATGATAAATGAGGTTACAAGTGTTCTTCCTCTATGGAGCTGCCCTGTGGGCACGAGGTCTTTCCTTTTATCCTTTTTTTTTTAACATGAAGAATTCTTTCTGTTTGCAAAAATATTACAAAGTTGGAACAACAACTAAGGGAAAAATTGATTCAGCATCCCAAAGAAATTACTTATTAAATAAAATTTTCACTTCTGATTCAAAAATCCTGGCCATATATAAACATAAAACTATATTAAATATTTTTATTCCGTTTAAAGCATCACGACATCTAAAGAGTTCGGAGGTGGCGCGGCAGTGGTCAGTAACGAAGCAGGCCGCCCCCCGCATGAAATGCTGACATGCGTGTAGCAGAGACTATGGATTGAGGTCACAGCTAGTGGGGCGGTGGTAGTTCTGGGTTTCAGCCGGCCGTTCTGGCTTCAAAGTCTGTGTTCTTCTTGTTAACTCTAAGATAGTATCGTTAAGTGACAAAAGCAAGGTGCAGAAGAGCATGCCACTGTGTGCACAAATACATGAGTATCTCTGGAGAGATGGCCAAGAAACTGTCTACATCTCTGGGGTGAGTGGGAGCAGGTGATCAGGGGCTTTCATCTTCCTTGCTGATGTCTTTCTCCATCTATGTGTATTTTAGAGCACTGTGCTGGGCGCCGCAGGCCTGTCTGCGTGCACGCGCTGGCGTGCTTGGTATGCACCTGAGTGAATCCCTTGTAGCTATCAGCAGCACGGTGCTGAGTCAGTTGCCCTTCACCGTGTTCTCCAGAGACCAGGGTCCCAGGAAAAGGTCCCAGGTCTAGCCTTGACATTCACAGGAGAAGGCGTGTCCTCAGGGCCACGCCGCCTGCCCGCAGCACACCTCCACGTCTGTTGGTAGCACGGTCTCCGTTTCTTAGAGGAATGTATTCATCTCACATCTCACAACGTTCAGAACCAAATGTGGCGAACGAGACTGCCAGCCCCAGGAAGGGCAGTCAGCAAATGCGCTCATTTTGCGGCTGTTTCTCAAGGCTGTGAGTTTGGTGAATGGAGGGTTTTCTTAGAAATATTAGCATATAAGAACATTTGCAAATATGGATCTTGGATAAGAACTGCACATCGTTAAAATCAGTCATAACTGGACATCCAAATATATATTTTTACAAATGGCATAATCTAGACAGAAAGAGGTAAACAATTAGCTTGGTATTGGAATAACACAATTTATTAAATTACTTATATTTTTCTTTGGCCTTTACGTGATACGCACACATACACATGCCTGAACTTCCTAGAAGAAAAGTAGGCACGAAAAGGTAAGCTTTATCAGTATTTCTCATCAGAAAATGGCTAAAATCCCCACCATATTCTAAAAATACATTCTGCAGCCCCTGCTGACCGACGCCTCGAGCTCCCACAGCTTTCTCGCAACTCTCTGCCATCGCTCAGTCTTCTCCTTCTTTTCCAAGCCGACACTGCTCAACGATTTCCTTGGGATACATGGGCATTCCATTCTGAGTCAGAGGCTCTCAGAGCTGGGGTAAGAGGTTTTCTACTCCAACCCTTATCTGATGCTCGAAATTCTTTAACAGCATTTGCAGTACGCCGCCCAGTCCAAGGCTTCCACCGACAGAGCTCCCCCTTCCATGCCAGCCTGTTCTCTCTCGAGACAGTTCTTTCAGAAAGTTCTTCCTGTAAGTGAGCCAAGATGAACTTCCCTGCAGTTTTCACCCCTTGATCCTACTTCTCACCCCATCGTGGTCACAGAGCACAACTCTAACCCTGGTCGATTATTTGAAAAGCCACCCTGCTCTGTTATGTCTTCTCCAGCCTAAACCATTCTGGTTATTCACCTATTTTTCACAGGCTTTGAAGGTGAAATAACCTTTCCATCTGAGTGGCATACAATTAACTCTATTCTTCTCAGACCAGAAAGAACCCTCAAAAGTGGGTTAACCACTTAACCAAAGAGAATTTTCCATTATGAAAACATGCCATATTTCTATGGAAACGGATCATCTTTTGGGGAGCGAGGTCACAGGGCTCACTCACATTGGTTTCGTTTTCCACTAAAACTGCAAAGTTGTCCACGCTTGGTGCTAAGTGACATGGTCCCCCTCCCTCAGCGGTGTGGCTGGTTTCTAGACAACGAACCAGGCCTTGTATTCATCCCCACTGGATTTCACCTTCTTCATTATGGCCGGTAATATTTTGGATGCTGGCTGTGTCGGGACACAGCGACACTCCCCTCTCCAGCTTTGAGTCAAGCACAGTTGAGCCTGTTTGTCTTCAATGTCAAATATCAAAGTTCAACATCCAATGTATCCACGTTCTTGGCGAAAACCTGGACCAGCCAGAAAAGCATTTTCCGGGGCCAGAGGCAAGCACGAGTCTCACCCAGCGGCCACTTCCTCCAGTGCGTCCTGCGCCGGCAGGCCCGGCGGCCACTCCACATCCCCCAGCCACATTCCAGTCTCTCCTCATCTCCCCACCAGCGCGGGCACGGGGACCGGGATCACAACACATTCAAGTATTTATAAATGTGATGAATAATAAAAAGTGTTGAAAAGTACTAAGTTGGTTCTAAAATATAATGTTTAAATTCTAAAAATAAAGTATTTTACATAGGCTATCTACATAGACTGTTCACACATAAGTGCAGTGAATTCTGAGTTTGAACTGAATGGTTCTCCCCAGTGTACCTCACTTGAAAGACGTATTCTTATGGCCATAAAACGCGACTCGCCATTCTATCCTGCGTGACCGTCACTGAGCCTTCCTTCTGAAGCAGACCGCGCCAGCCAGCGTGCGGCGGAACCTGCAAACTGACCTGTCGCCAGACCATGCACACGACCACTCTCTCACTCTGCGGCCTTAGGTAACCTCTCTGGGTATTTCCTTTGTGAAATAAAGACCACATTACCCGCTTCCTGGGGTAGATAAGAAGTTAAATACAATTAATGAGATGGTGACGAGCTGGGATCACCACAGGTACTGAATGTGTGCTGGCTCTCATTCACAGACACCTGTGACGCTAACTGTGATGCTGCCCAGCTCCGAGTCCGCCTTAAATGACAGAGATGCAAGAATGAGAGTGAGTGTGCTGTGTGTGAGGCAGTAAATATTTCCTTTTATAACTAAAAAAAATCTAAAAACCCATGTGAATTTATTGAATGCATATTTTTAAAAACTTTTAAAAACCTCAAAGTTTTATTTTTAAATATTTCTATTTCAATCTTAGGAGAGCTAATAAATACATGTGAGGGCTAATGTTTTAATGCCTTGCTACTGGGAATGTGCGTGGAGGACAGCCTCCAGAGGTTTCCGAGGAGCCTGTTAAAAATGCGTGAAAATCTGCATTTTACAAAGGCTTCCAGCCTTTTCTCTATACACGCTGGGTTTGAGAAGAACCAGTTTAATATATCATAGCTCTCTAAAGTTAACTTCTGTGTGTTTCGTGATCTATATACATGGTATGGTATTCAAGGACTAGGCATTTAAAATAAATGAAATAAAGCACTTTTCCTTCATATCTTGTATTTTCTATTTTTAGAATCCAGAATCAGGAGTATAAAAAGAAAACAACTTTTCATTCTTCCATTAAGTTGGCCTCACGCTTAAAAAAGATTTAATGCTTGAAAGGAGGAAAGCTATCCCAAAACCACAAGATGAGACATGCTATGAATACTAATACTTTAGATTAATAAGAATTGTGCAATTTAAAAGTCTGTTAATTTTCCAAGGAACTATGTTTAAATCCACCTTTCTCAGAACCTTCTCTAACCTTCTCTTATGGAATAAGTGGTGGTAATTTAATTTATAACTGTTTTATCCAGCATCCAAGTTAGAGTGCAATTTTTCTTAGATAATCACAGGAGTTCTATCGCCTCCTTCTACTTCTCAAATCTTAAAAAAAAGAAAAGGGATATCATTGAAAAAACGATCAGGGATCACCTCCCACAGCACTACTTTTTTCATTCCTGGGAATGGGGCACTAAAAATAACTTGTTAACTACATGTAAGAATATGCCTAAATGTTTTACTTACCAAGCCTTTTTGAGAGAAATCACTGGCCTTTTAATTAACTACCTGTCTCCCATACTTTAATACTAATGGAGAACTAACAGATTTAGCTCACTTAAAGAAAATGAAATAGAAATGCTGGTGATCATTTTTGACCCTCTTTGTTAAGTAAGCACAGAGATGTGTCCCCATACACTCGATCAGCACAACGAGGGTCTTCAGATGGGACCAAACTGAGACGTGTACCAGCAGAAGGGAGACGAAATGGTTTTACCTGCCGGGTCCCTGACGGGTTCCCAGTGTAAGTCACTGTCTTTTTCCCTGATCCATCCACAAAGTCCGTTGTCGAAACCACAGCTGTGTATCAGAACACCTATGAGGAAATGAGGAGAAAGATGAGCAGGTCACTGACAACGCAGCTCAGCCTGTGAGCTACAGACATCTGTATAACAAGTGTTCTCCCCATCCACACCCCAGAACGCCTTTCCATGAGATGGAAAGGAAACTGCATTAATCCTTCCTCAGCACAATCGTGCACATATCCTCCTCTGTAAAAATAGAACACACGAGTGTTGCCAGATCACGACCTTGTTACATCAGCACTTACAAAACATGATTTCCTTCTCACAGTTTAAATACAACTTTAATATATTTTGTAAAAAGAAAATGATGGTTCATAATTATTTTTGCTCAACTGATTTAAGTACAGAGGAAAGTGAGTTGTTAAAAAAAAGGTGTATAATTTTCCCAAATGATAGCACGCAATCTACAATTTAGAAGTTATTTTCATGAAACAGAGGGAGACAATAAAATGCCATTATGACGGTGCAAAAAGTACCTACCTGGATCATCCTTTGCTTCTTCTTCTGCACTGACTCCTCTTTCTATTTCAAAAATCTCAAACAGATCATTTGAAGGCTGCCGTGGAACTGCAAGAGAAAGGTTTTTGAGTTTCTTTTTAATGAGAAGTGATAAAGAGGCATTACCTTTAAGAGGGGCAGGGAGAAAGATCTGGGCATTTCACTGGTCTGGAAGAATCTAACATTTAATTACATTTCACATAAAGACTCATGAAGTTTGCTCTGCAGGGATTTATGCTGTAGCATTTATCTGATAGAGTTTTAAACCATGATTTGCAAGATGTTCTAAAATTCGACATAAAAATAATTTAAAAATCTTTATCTGGGAAAAATAGATTTTATTTTTATTTTTTCTAACTTTTCTTTTTCTTTTCTTTTTTTTATCTGGAAAAACTAGCAACGCATGGAAAATACATTTTAAAAGAGCTACCAAATTTCTGGCAAAACGTTCATCTCTAGGAAACTCTAAAATTCATCTCTAGGAAAATACCTTGTTATGACCTTTAAATTAGGGCTGTTTGAACTGGTGATGCCTATGATCGCAGGGAATGGTTTGATTTTTCTAACTGCAGCAGCTGTTCCCCTCCCCTGACTCCGCACGATGCTGACTCACTCTAACTCACATCTCTTGCCCTGGCCACCCTTGTTTAAATAGGTTCCCTGGCTCCTATCTGCCCAAATCTGAACTTCCCGGTACAGCATTCACAATCCACCCCACCAAAATACACAATGTTGTCCAAACATGCCATTCATTTCCACGACTGCCGCCTTACGCTCTTTCCAGCTAATCAGCGGAACCACCCCTCTTCCCTCAAGCCCAGCATAATGTCACCACCTGGGTGGAAACTTCCAGGCCCCAGGCAGAACCAAACTGCCACCCTCACAGCTCAACAGCTCCTGTTTTCATGCCTCTGTTACACACGCTTTCCCGAAGAACTGCAGTTGTTCACACACGTGTCTGTCCCTCTGCTAGTCCCCGAGGTCCTGGGGAGCATCAGTCTGGTCTTGTCCAGGTGGCATTTCCAAGGCTTGACCCCGTGACCGGCACTCAGTAAGTGTTTACAGAGTGAATGCAAAGAGCCCGTCAGAAACCCCTGTACTTTGTCAGCACTTTTCCTCAAGGGACACAAGCGGGCAGAGCTGACAAATCCACTTTAAAAAATAATCGATGCACTTAAATCATTTCTTTATTCATTCGATGTATATTCGATCGCCAAACAAATGCCAAGTACTGTGGTGGGTGCCCGGAGACACGGGGACCTGGATCTTATGTGACTTGAATTCTAACGGGAAAAGCGGACGTTCAACATGGAGATAAACAAGCACCATAACTCTATGTTTTGATAGGGCTAGAAAGGACGATGTCACGGAGAGCAACTGGGCTGGGGCTGGGAACGTGTGGGAGTGTTGATGGTGGTGAGGGACATTCTTGGACAAAGGCCGGGAACACTCCCTTCTCTTTGCCAGAACTCCAATTAATTCTATTTTTATAAGGAGGGAGTAGAAGACTCGAATACCATGAGACAGACATCAGTCAAAGAGGTTCTTTTTTCAATGATGTTCCTGTGATTTTTAGCAAGAATTTTTTTTTAATTAAGTAAAAATTCCATAATATTTGCACTGTTTTAGCTTACTACTTCTGAACTTTTTCCCTTTCCATGAGACAGACATCAGTCAAAGAGGTTTTTTTCAGTGACTTTCCTAGAAGTTTTAGCAAGTTTTTTTTAAAGCAAAAATCCCATAATACTTGCACTAACTGTTTTAGCTTACTACTTCTGAACTTTTTTCCTTTTTGTTTCAAAAGTGAAAAGAGTGAGGCCCCTTTCCCTCTCACAACACACACTCATAAACACCCAGCAAGGCAAGGATGGAGGAGGAGAAGCTCTCGGGACACACCTGTTCATGGGGCCCTGGGGGAGAGGGAAAGTGCCGCCCTCTTTTATACCCCAGGTGACTGACAGCAATGACATCCAATCACAGCTCTTCTTTCCTCATTTGGGGCTCTGAGAAGGAACATGCCTCTATTATTTACTAGAAATATTGCAAAGTTGTGGACAAGCATGCTTTGTTTCTCATGGCATAGAGAAGTTACAAAAGCTCTATAGAACAATCATGCTTTTATTTCCTTCTCTTGTAACTTACACAAATTATCTCTGTAATGGACTAGGCTCAACTCCTGCAGTACTATATTTGAAAGGCATACGACAATTTTTCAAGTCGCCCTTTTTTTCCTCAGAGGAAGAACTGTCCAATGGAAAACAGAGTCTCCATGTAGAGGGGAGGACCACACAATGGCGGCCTGGCACAGGCAGCCTATTTTATAAAGGGAGACCAAGGAGATCCTCTTTGAGGGAGCACCCTTTAAACTTGGAGGGGAAGAGTGGGAAACTTCGCAAGGAAAAAGCATAGTGTTGGGGTTGGGGAAGAGGGAGGGTTCAAGCAGCAAGCACAGAGAAAGTGTGAGGAACATTTAGAGAAAGAAGTTCACAGCGGCTGGAGGATGAAGAGAACCGGAGAAAGGGACATGGGATGAGACCGTAGTCATCTAACAACTTGCGAAGGGTCAGGTTCCTGTTGTTAATACTTTCAGCACTCGGTTTCCATGAACTATTTAGCAGCAGATAAGGAGGAACACCTTCACTGCAATTCACTGGGAAACATTCCAAGGAATTTAGAAACCTGAAATGCTCAGCAGCTATTAGTCCTTGCAATTTTGTGTGCTCTACCCTGTAACTCCACCAAATTGTTTAACTAATTCTCCTTCCTGGCACACACCAGTAGAAATTATTAGGAGTATCCCACTGAAGTCTCTAGAGAAGGAACACTACCCGCTCCTTGGTATGTTTTACAGTTTCTGTGAAAATATAAAGTGTGATAAGTAGTGGGGAAAATCTTTCAAGCAGTATTATCTTATTATCTCAACTACGCACATGAAAAACAAACCAAGACAAGGTTTGCATGCTGAAACTGCCATTCTGGCTGTAGCCTGCGGACTAGAGGAAGCTGAGAGTGGGTGTCCTACGGCTAAAATTAACATAAATTAATGTTCACACACTTCTAGAAAATTTCCCCCAGATTTTTCTATCATCGGTCAATGTTTTACCCACTGAAATGTATTCCTTGCCCATTGCTTCGTGCAACCTTCATCGTGAAGTAAAAGAAGTACGCAGGCCGGGAAGCAGGCAGGCGGCGGGCGGAGCGCCCACCCGGCTGAGGAGGATGGCGCTTTCACACGGGCTGTGGGGCCCAAGGGCTGGTGGAGGAACCGGCCACAAAAACAGACAGGAATCTTCTCGCAAGAAATGCTGGCCCAGCTCTTTCTACTAAATACATTTTCCCTGGGGATGTGGTGATATTGATATAGAGCCTGTGTTCATACATGAGGTTTCCCAAATAGTCAATCGTACATTTTCACCCAGAAAACATGAGAGTAAGCAAAGAGAAGTATACGTAAATATTACCATACGCCCCTCCCACTGCCAAACTTCTTGCAAAGAGTAACTGCAGCAAAATGTAAATGTTCTTATTACAGGTAGATTTGCAAACTCTCTTTCTGTTCTAAGGGGGTTCCCGTGACATTTTCCAGCCCAATTCTGGCATTTGTTGTCGGACTGAAACATTAAAGATAACACTGTCTTAAATTATTTCTATACTGAGGGGTTTAGTGCATTGAGGAGAATGGTGCACGTGTAATTATGCTAATATTCTGAAGGCTCTCGCTGGTGGCTAAACCTAGAGATTTTTAGAGACTACAGACTGGAAGGTGGGGATGAATGACAGGTTCTGTGAGGCGGTCTCTCCCTCTCTCCCTGTCTCTTCCTCCCCTGGGCTCTCTCCGGACCAGAACACATGCATTATAGCTTTAAATGACAAGAGAGAAGTAAAAAGACTGAAAATGAGTTTCTGAAATTTCTTTAACCATGTTAGAGAAAATTTTTACACATCTATTGATTCCTAGTGAAAAGAAAAAAGTCTCTGGGCTACACAGAAATAAGACTTTCTTTGCCAAAACTTTCATCCCCCAAGAAGAATCTACAAAGTTCATAAGACACCTTTGGGCTGAGAGTAAGAGCAAAACTAGGAAAATTAAATTTCTGGTAAAAGACAGAACATAGACACAGCTACTCAGTAATGAGCCTGGTTTCTGCAACACACCTATTTCTCCTTTATGTATTGTGTATACCTTCAATAAAGTTTCAGAACAACTCACAGGCACTGCCCAGAGAAATCCCAGGAGAACAGAATATCTGAATGATGTGCTCTTTTCTAAGCATGATCATTAGGGTTTTTTTTTTTTTTAATTTCAAAGTATTACGGGGGTACAAACATTTTTGTTTACATGTATTCCTTTTATAATGCTTGAGTCATGGCTATGACATGCCCACCACCCAGTTAGTGTGCATTATATTCATTAGGTGGGTTTTCGCCCATCCCTCCTCCCCACTCTTTCCTGCTTGATTTCTGTTCCGTTTTACCTCTCTCTGTGTACGCAAGTGCTCGGCAGTTAGTTCCAATTCAATAGTGAGTACCCGTGGTGTTTAGTTTTCCATTCTTTAGATACCTCACTTAGGATAAGGGTCTCCAGCTCCACCCAAATTGTTACAAAAGGCATTAAAAGTCATCCTTCTTCAAGGTTGAGGACCATCCCATGGTACACATGCCACATTTGTTAATCCACTCATGAATTGATGGGCATCTGGGTGAATTCCACATCTTGGCAACTGTGAACTGTGCTGCAATAAATATGTGAATAAATATGCGAATGCAGGTGTCTTTTTGATAAAATTACTTATTTTCCTTTGAGTAAATACCCAGTAGTGGGATTGCTGGATCAAATGGTAGGTCTACCTTTAGTTCTTTGAGGTGTCTTCAGACTGTTTTCCATAGAGGTTGTACTAATATGCAGCCCCTGATCATTAGGATTGTCCTACGAATTTTCCTCATCGAGAGAGCATTTGACAGGTTTCGTTCTCCTTCCCTCTTTTAAGCCAAAGGGAACTACAAGGGTTAGGCTCTACCAAGACTGAGTCCTGCACGTCAAAAGGCAGATGGTAGGCAGACCCCTCAGC